ACAGAGCTACATATTTAATGAGCACTTGCTATGAGCCAAGCGCTAATGCTTTACATGCAGTATCTCCTTTAGGCCTTGGCACCGCCGCCTGAGGTAAGCACTGTTGGGATTTCCATTGCACAGGCCAGAAGACTGCGGCACCCAGGGCTCTCAGAGGGCAGGGCTGGAGTCTGAAGCCAAGTCCAGCTGATGCTCCACCCAAACACTGATCCCTATGCCTTGCCTGACTGGCTCTCTCGCCTTGCCGGGGGTTCACCCTCTGGCTGGAAGTGGCTCTGAGGAGGGAAATAACTTGTCCGCTGAGGCTGGCAGTCACTGCTTGACAGGTATTCCCAGGGATGTTCAGGAGGGTCTTCCCCACAGGGCACACCTGCTGGCTGTCCGTCTCTTTCTCCCGGTCCTCCAGTCGATGCCGACTCATAGCAACCGTGTGGGGTGGGGCAGGACTGTCCCTGGGAGTTTCCGAGACGGAAACTGTTTATGGGAGAAGAAAGTCCCATCCTTCCTCCAAGGAGTGGGCAGGTCTGTGTATGAGTATGGGTTTAATCTTAAAGCAGAGGACAAGGTCTTATCTGGAGAACAACAGATCTAAGAGCTCTGGGCAGGAACCCAGTGACACCAGTCCCTGTAGCCTTGGAGGGGGACAGCTCCCTGCAGGGTGTAATTGCTTCTTAACCCCCTCCCCCCACTCCTACACACACACACCAGCCTCCCTTCCCTGCCCCAAATCATCCTACAATCCAAACCACAAGGGTTTGCATCTACCCTGGCTCATAGGCTCTTTGCTGCCAAAGGATCCGGTGGGAAGTCCTCTGCCCAGCTTGGCAGCCCTCCATGACCTGGCTACCATCCACTACCCACGCTGCTCAGTCCAATTCAATTGCAAAAACACGGCCTTATCTTTGTACATAGTGGCAGTTAGTATTCAAATGATAGTCAAAGGTTAGGAAAACACAAAGGGAAATCAAAGTGCTGTCAGGGTCTCCATTTCTCATGCATTATCAGTCCCCTGCTGGAGGCCGCGCCACAGACTGGGTACACATCCTGCTGGGCCGCTGCACCCCTCCCCTCCCGCTCGGGAGGGGCTAGCCACTCAAGTGAACTAAATGCCTGGGCAGTGTGCCCCCAGTATCGTACACCTTCGTTGAGAGCTGACAGTTGAGTGAGACCTGCATCAACAGAGCAACCTGGAGTCAACCTGCTCCAGCCCCCAGGGCACCCACCCACTCGTGTTGGATGGCAACCATGCTCCAGACGTATTTTTCTTGTCCGTTTG